ACACACACACACACACACACACACACACACACACACACACACACACATATATATATATATATATATATATATATATATATATATATATATAAGAGTATATATATATATACTCTTTTGTATCTAAAGCTAAAGTGATTTGAAATGAAATGAAACTAATCTCAATGAATTGAATTGAATTAGATTGTCCGAATTGTTAGATGTATTGACCGTAGAAAGACCCATGACCGTCCTAAGAAAGAAAGAAACCTGAAATGAAAAGAAAGTAAAGTAAGATTAGTAGTAGTAGAAAGAAAGAATGAAAGAAAGAAAGAAAGTAGGATAGAGATAAATGGAAACACGACCTCGAAGATGCTGATGAAGGTAGCTGCAAAGCTTACACCACCGGAAGGTAGATCACCATGAAGGCCTTCCTCCCGCGAAGTAAAGCTCCACTGGGGCAGATTCCGCGGGTGTGGAGATAGATCTGAAAGAAGAGAAATTATTAACACGGAGGATGTTGAAGGCATTGGATACATCGAACGACACAGCAATCAACACCCGCCCCCGAGCGACAGGCCTTTCCCAGAGGAGACGCAAACACTCCAACGCATCCATTGTTGAGCACCTTCTCTGGAATCTGTACTGGCTGTGGCTGAGGTCGGGACCACACCGCAACAGATGCCCGAAAAGGCGGGGAGCTATGATTCTTTTGAACAGCTGGCCCGCTTCGTTGAGCAGACACACCGGTCAGTACGCAGAGGGAGACTCTGCGGGTTTTCCACATTTTTGAAGGAGAACCAAGTACGCGTGCTTTCACACGCTGGGGAAGGTTCCCCGGTTCAGAGTAGGGTCCAAGGCGCTCCTATATGCCAGGCCGAGGACTTTCAAGGCCAGAAGCAACACGCCACCGGGGACTCCATCCGGGCTGGGGGCTCTCTTGCACCTAGCCCGTAGCTCCCCGAGGGGCCCTTTTTTTTTTTTTTTTTTTTTTTACGTGGGTGAAATGCTTTATGTATACCCCGACCTGGGGGGGGGGGGGGGGATTCGTGGACGGATGGCCGCCCTTAGGTGCGCCAATCCGGAAGCGTACCCACTAAAGGCCCCAGCTTGCGCAGTCCGCGGTCCCCAGGGACTCCTCTCATCGCGTGGCATCCTTCATTACATCAGCTGAGCACTTTTCTACTGTAAAAAGCTCAGCGGACAATTATTTTTGTGTAACTGTTACAGATAACTATAAGTTTACGAAGTTTTGTGGCGTCACTCCAGCGGACCGGACTGTCGTAAGAAAAGGGTTAAGACTTTTACACCACTGTTGTCTTGCAGAGATAGAGTTTGTTGTACGATTTATATTTGTGAGCTTATCGGCACCATCAGCGTTTATCGTCTGTTCCAGAGTTAAATCAATCGATTGTCTTGAACTTGGTTTGTTAGTTTTCTTCACAATGATATCTTTTCAAATTGTTCCCTAAAGTCGTGTAGAAATCCGTGTAGTAAATATCCGTGTCCATATTACACGGATACACGTACATATATTACACGGTTATTCACGTTTTTCATGTGTAAAGAAGCACGGAATTTATTAATTATACGTATACATGTGTTTTCTAATATCTATGTCTCGTAAAAGTTTTAACTGGATATACGTAACACGTGTACCCGTGTATTGGGTTGTCATTACGGTCTGAACGTCCGCACTGTTGAACACAGCACTTTAGCTGCGCGTAGTTGGAAAGCACCGAATTTTATATGGTGTTACACAGTGCCGTCTTTGCACTTTACTGGAAAGGACCTTCATGTATTGGCTGCTCATTTGTATTTCACATCTTTTTCTAGTTTCTTGCAGTTTTTTTTATGGGGATCTTCTATTTTTCTATGATTAGTCCTTAAGTCCTCCACTTTTTCATATACTTGACGTAATTTTTTTATTTTTTTGAAGTTTTGTATGGGGATCTCACTTCTTTTTACAAAGATAATTTGCATAGTGAATGACTAAATAAATTTTATATTATATGTATTGTATAGTACTAGTAGAGTTCATGGTGCGCGAAGCAGCTTTTGGCGCTGAACGTACTGAACATTGAACTGTAATAACAAGCACAGTTAACATCTTTCGAAGAAAAATATGTATGCATTTTTAGCATTTCGTAGTCAAACTTGTTTTTCTAATCAAGTAAATCATCAACGGCTACCCATGTTGTGCACTTACCCTTTACCATACTCGTGTAATGACCATCGGAAATACTTTTGTCGTGGTGGAAAATCGCTGCCTTACATTTATAACAGTGATCCCCCATTTGTATTTTAGTAGTAGGTACTGCTTTGATGCAGAAATTTCCACTACTATTGTTCGTACTACTACACGTTGTTCCACTACTATTCTGATCGAACAAAAGTAATTTCCCAATAAGAATTTGTTTGGAGGCAGTTATATTAACTTTCTTCATTATGTTTGAATTTGACTATCACAATTATTGCAAGGACCTCTCAGATTTATCCATCCTGTGAAATGGTGTTTTATTATATCTTGAAATTCAATTAATTTTTTAAGATCTTGAGCAATGCAAGGTGTAGTACACAATTTGTACTGATATTACAATATATAGAAGAAGAGATCAGTTTCAGTGCTTTAAGTTTCCAAAGTACGCAGAATGCATGGCAGAAAGTTTTGTTACAAGGAATTCAAATGTTAAAGATGAAGTGAGAAATAGGAAAAATATATTCACTATTTGTAACGCACAATTTATTTAATTACAATATATAGAAAAAGAGATCAGTTTCAGTCCTTCAAGTTTTCAAAAATATATCCTTCACTCAGATAAAATACTAGAATTTCACAGCGACAGCTCCTACTTTTGGAGAGCATAAAAATACTGTTGCTTCGTCAGCAAATTATTTGCTTCATGAAATAAGCAATTCATCCATTCGTTTCCTCTTATTGGAATAACTGTAGCTGCTTAGATCAATCAGAGACTGTGGAAACAGAAAATGCACAAAAATTAACAACAATAGTACATATACATAAGCGCACAAAACTACTTATCAAATAATGGTAAACACTATCTACTTTTAATTGTGAATTTTACTTACTCTTTTATTGATGATGTTATATGCTCCTCTTCTTGTTGTAATAGGTAAAAAATATGTCGCACTGCTAAAACAACTATGATGGTTTTTTAATGCGTGCACTTATGTATTACGAGGCAACATTATTGTCTCTTGTGCATTATTTTTTGCAGTATCTAGTAGTACTTTTTGTCAGTATCTTAATGTTTTTATTATTTTATGCAAATCAAATAACTTTTTCAAATTTCGGCCAGTTCTTTAGCAATGCGGACTTGAATAAAACCTGTTCTTATTTGGTTTTAATGAAAACGAGTGATTAGATAGACCTAGTGTTCTATAGGTTATTACATTCCGACTTACCTTGTTGGCCATATGTGCCCAATGATAAAATAAAATATAAAAATTGCCATTTATTCTAGACACTTTACTATATACTTTTTATCTGTATTTTAATGTTTTTATAATTTACTTGTAGATCAATCAACTGGGAGGTGCCATGGTGGAAAATACTACTGCCATTCAACGTGTGAAGGATTCAACTCCTGTCAATGGTGCCCAACAAACTACAGGAGAAAAGAAATCATTTACACCATATTCAGAAGACCAATATAATTCAAATAATGATTTTTACGTAGATCCTGATCATCTAACACTATGGCAACATCCAGTTACTACATTGAATTATTTCTTTCGAGAATTGTTTGTTAATTTACTCAGTTTAGGAAAAAAAACATTGCATTACAGAAGAATAGTCTGGACTATAATATCGATAACTGCATTGTTTCTGATGTTCAGTAGGATTGTTGGTCCACACCAAGAGGTATATTATTATTATTATATATATACATATTATATACTCGTTGTTGCTCCTTAAAAGAAACAAACGGGGCTATATTTTCAATTTTTTCAGATTTTTAAAACCGTGCCTGCTATAAAAACAATTCATTTGTTTAAAAAAAGTTAGCAAAAAGTAAACATTTTTTTTAATCGAAACATTTTTAGTTGATACTCCGTTCTTTTCCGTATATGGTCCCAAACGACCATTCTCGTTTGTCTATTAATTCAAGACCTATAATATTTGAAAAATGTAGCATTGGTTTTATACACGTTTGTAAAACCCATGATTTCTCAAAATTTTGAAAAATGTTTGAGATACGTTTAACCATCACAAAAAACTACAACATACTCAAATTTGCCAAAAATCTGAGATACTGCTCCATTTAGTGTTTGATTTCACGTGGAATAATCCTAGGTTGTGTTTCCGTCGATGATCAATAGTTTATGAGATTTTTAACGACTAATATACTGTTTTATCTTCAGACACGTTTAAAACCTTAAAATTTGTTATTCTTATGTACTACAAATTATCGAAACTTTTTAGGCATTTTGACTTGGTTTTTTCAGTGGTCAATGTTACTGAAAAAAATGTTGAAACCTTTTTTGAGCGAAAATTCACATTTTACAATTTTCAGAATACGATATTTAAAATAGAAAAGACACGATTGTGGCCAAACAGCTGAATATACCTTATATAGTATATACCTTTCTGAAATCATCTCAACAGCTAGATAAGATTAACAAATGTGGCGTTCCATTTAAGAAAACATTTATGATCTTGAAATTTCATAAAAAATTAGGGTAATTATAGAGAACAGGTACATCCTCTCCGATTTCGATGATTTTTGAATATGTTTTACAAATCAACATTTTGAACTACTTTTTTCGATACATATAACCATCGCTCAGGCTTGGTTTCCGAGATATTTGCAAAATATCATTGCTTCTACTACAATGAATATTGCGTATAGCTACGCGTCTGTGACAGTGTGTGTGTGTAAGCGTTCAGTCGTCGATTGTCTAGGCTCGGAATATACGTACGCGTTTGTGAGTTCCCGTAATTTCGAGGCGTATAATTTTCGTGCAAAATCATTTTACAAAAATTGAAAAGCATATATGTCTCAATTATACGGATGCTTGGAGGCTGGACCTCTCAGACCCCCCGTCGCGCGGGGGGCTGCGCCCCCTCGACCCCCCGCTAAACTATAAACACCCCTCAGGCTAACCATGTACACACCTGAGTGGTGCGCTGCAGTACTTGTTATTGGGGGCTTCGCCTCCAAACTCACGACGGGGGGCTAGCCCCCGGAGCCCCATTTTTTTACTGTACGAATAAAAATCATGCGCTACTTCATATGAATGAATGAGTCGAAACAGATTGAAACACGAGCCGACCGACGAATGATAGCTAACGCATACAGACTCACAGACGCGTACGTATATTCCGAGCCTAGACAATATACGACTGAACGCTTACACACACACTGTCACAGACGCGTAGCTATACGCAATATTCATTGTAGTAGTAGCAATGGTATTTTGCAAATATCTCGGAAACTAAGGCCGAGCGACGGTTATATGTATAAGAAAAAGTTGTTCAAAATGTTGATTTCTACAACATATTCAAAAATCCTAGAAATCGGTGAGGATGTACCTGTTCTCTATAATTACCGATTCTTGCATTTTTCCGGGTGGGTTGTAATCTCTTCGTACGAGGATCCTCATATAATTGCGATCGAACTTCGCTCGCCTATGGCGAGCTTGTTTGATCGTTTAATTATATTTCGGACCTCGTTCTCGAGATTACAATGTACTTGTTTAGAGGTTGCAATTTTTATCTTTTGAACAACATTCTTCCATTTATTTTTATTTATATTTTATAACAATTGTTTCAACAGGTTTTATTAGACATTGTATAAAGAAAACTATATGCTTGTACTTTCTTTCTGTAAAGTTATAAAATAATATAAAGTAACATAAAGTAACATAAAATAAACCTTCGTGTTTCTTTGGCATTTCTTAATCTAATAATACCGCTTCCGAGAAACTGTATTTATCCGCTACAACTGGTTTGTTATAGAATTTTGCAAAAACACTTGAGTTTTCTGACCAACCTTTGTTGAGAAGTCTGTCCTGATAATCTCCCTGCAATCAATTTGAGATGCTGCGCTCTTAGGTGTTGCTTCGTACTGCACATGTAAAGTAATAAATTAGGATCAGGTCCCATAATCATTGGTTTCTCTACGAGCATTTTCTGATAGATGGGGTACCAAGGTTGATTTTTCCTATCTGGTACCACTAAAATTCCTTCCGCCTTGTCGGCCTGTATTTTAACTAAAACCCTTAAAATTACCGCGAATGGCGGAAACGCATAAAATTTTAAGTGTGTCCATCCAACTGTAAATGCATCTACTTCTTCACATTGTTTTTCCGGAAACCACGAAACGAACCTTTTGCATTTTTTGTTTAACTTTGATACGAATAAGTCAACTTCCGGTGTTCCGAATTTACTTGTGATTTGACTAAATGCCGAATCACATATTTCCTATTGCGCGTCCTCATTCTTCAGTCTAGATAACGCGTCCGCTTCGGCGTTCGATTTTTTTGCTGTATATGATGCAAATAACTGTAGCGGACTGCGCGGCATAGTTCTAGGAACTGTGACATACAATGTATAAACGAAGTCGATGGCACGGCGGCGTCTGGCAATGAGTTCATCATGGCCAAAGTATGTAATGTTTTGATAGTGACATTACAAAGCCGCTGACCGTTAATGAGGAGAGTCTTTTCCTCCCCTTCCTGGTTGCTCCTTGAGGAGCAACGGGTCGGGAGTTCGACGAGCCAGTCGATAACCAGAGGTCTATAACTGAACATCGTGTGTGAGACTGAATAATAAAGTTTACCTTTGTTATTGTTACATACATTTCGCCCATACGATTTATTTACCCCACATAACATCCTAAATAACCTTATATTTTTATTTTCTGCCCACTGCCAAATTTCTCTAGCTAGAGTATTATATATTACGTGTCTTGTACCTCCCATTTTATTGACATATGCAATAGCTGTTGTATTGTCCACTCTTAGCAAGATTTGACAATTCTTTTTATCTCTCGCGAGTTTCTCTAATGCTAACTTAACTGCTAATAACTCTTTAAAATTGATATGGTAATTTATTTCCGAACTATTCCAAAACCCGTACACTTTGTTTTTCTTATCTGTTGCTCCCCACCCCGATCCCGACGCATCTGTTTAAATTGTAAGATTGTAATTATGTATTCTTATTTGTCTATCTGCTGATGGTACCTTTTTTATCCACCAGTCTAGGTCCGTTAGGATTGGGGCTGGTATATTCATTGTTCGTCTGTAGTCGTGTTTGTTTCTTAATAGCGCCTTTATTTTCTCTCTCTCTAGAACCTTCGTGTATAGCCACGCCTGTTCCACACCTGGACATGCTGCTGTTAGCTTACCGATTAAGCAGGCAAGCTCTTTGATTCTGCATCGCTTCTTTCTTTTAAGACCTTGCAGCAATTCTCTTAACTTTATTCGTTTCTTTCTTGTTAATTCTGTGGTAAACTTAATTGAATCTATTGTGAATCCTAGGAACTTATACCTAGTTTTTGGTGTGGTGCACGACTTATTCTCGTTTATTAAAAAACCTAAACTCTTAAGTAATCGCTTCGCTGCTGTAACATTTTCGCTACATTGATCGAAGTCTTTTTCTGCGCAAAAATAGTCATCTAAATACATAACCGAACAATAACCTGCCATCTCAATTTACTCAATACTGGTTTCATTACTTTTGTGAAAATAAAAGGAGCGGTACATAATCCGAAAGGCAAACAAGTAAATTCGAATAGTGTTCTACCAAATTTAAACCTTAAGTACTTTCGCGACTCTTCGTGGATCGGTATTAAATAGTACGCATCCTGTAAATCCAGTGTGTACATGAAGTAATTTGGAAAAACCAATTTCTTTGCCATATTCAGATCCTCCATTTTAAAATGTTTTGCATTAATAAACTTATTTAATCTTTTTAGCTTCAATATAAACCTATGTGTACCATCTGGTTTTTGTCGTAAGAAATAACTTGAAAGAAATTGATTTTTCCCGGATTTGCACTTCTGAATTGCGCCTTTTAATATTAATTTATTTATTGCTTCAATATAAGCGTTTTCTTCGCCTGCTCTTATTTCGACCGTAGCAGGTTTCTCCTGTCGCGGTTTTCTACTAAATTTAATTTTATGACCCCTTATGTTATTTAACACGAATGCATCTTTTGTGATTTTTTGGCACTCGCTTTTGTAAGCTTGTAGCCTGCCTGCTATACCTACATTTATTTGTAGTTTCTCGGTCTGTGTTTTTGATGAGATTGTTTTCGATCGCTTGTTTGCTGGGGATACTTCTTCTGCCTGAAGTACAACCGACGTCGGCCCTGTTGGCTTACACCTAAACCGCCTATATGCAGAGCCGGGCGCCTTCCCTGAAGGCTCTTTGTGTTTATATCCCTTCCTATTAACGGCATTTCTCTTGTAATTTTCTTGGATATTTTCTCAACGGCTTCTGCCTCCTTGAACTTCTGTCCTAAATCTTCACCGAATAGGAACTTATCTGTTTTCCCTTCAGATACTAATGTTTTACAGCCTTTTGTAACTCCTTGCGCTATAAACGCCTTCCTTGATTTTGATTATTTGTACATTATTTCCAGCAATTCGGTTGTGTCCTTCAGTCGTTCAACAAACAGCTCCTGATCAATGTACTCTTTCTCTTGAGTATGCTTAGCAACGAGCCCAATGCCGTCAAGGATGTTCCTGCTAAATTCTGTATTTCCATCATATATGTATCTCTTTTAATGGCACTTTCCTTCATTGCGCCTTTTATTTTCGCATTTAGCAGTGGCGGGTCCAAAAAAGTTGGTTTTTTGTACATCTTGATGATTTTCTCCCTTTCTTCTTCCGCCAGGCAGTTTTGTATCCAGTATTTCTATCTGCTTCTAAGTGATGAATGAATAAATAAACACTTCCTGAGCCTTCGAGTTTTGAGGATCGTCTCCAAGTAGACTCAGTAATCTCTCATCTACTTCTGGTTTATTTTCCTTATTTTCGTCTTTGTTTCCTTCTTTGTCGCCCTTCTCGACATCCTTGTCGCTATATTTACCACGCTCTTCAGATTCGTTAATATCTCTGTTGATTCCAGACATAACCTCTTGACCGCCTTCGACAATACGCAAAAACTCAGAAGGTTATTTTATTAACCATATAAAACTAGTCTGCCTTGCCCCGCTGTGCAAGTTCACTAGTATATGTTAGTTGCTAAGCGACATCCACTTTCTTGGTTTTTTCAATATCGTAATCTAACCTGTCTCTCCCTAGCGTGCAAGCCCGCTAGTATATCAAAACTAACTGTAGTTTGTCTTGATCCTCTGTGCAAGCACACTACATTGATTTTAAACCTCACAAACCACGACGTCCGTTTGCCGTTGGCCTATCGTGATTTTGGAATTTCCTGTCAGTCAATTTCGGTTCCTTAACCGGCAACCTAACCTGTCTTGCCCCTATGTGCAAGCTCGTTAGTTTCGAATTACTTGTTTCACTCGTGAACTCTTAGTAATATTCCCATACCTGAACATTCCAGCTCTACAGCTTCGTTACATTCCATTCGCTTTCACTTCCACCGGATTCACTCTGCGAGCTCTCGCTCGCCGATTCTCGACCTTCTTCCTCGATGTTGTATTGAACTATCTTTATAGATTCCTTCAGACGCTTTATTTCGTCCCTGAGTTTGTCTACTTCACAATTCTTCCTCTTCATTTTGTTGCTTTCTTCACGTCTCACTTAGTTGTTGCCTCTAACGCACAACAAAAAGGAATGACGAGCTCAGGCCAGAGGAATAGATGGCAGAGCTGGGGTTTTTGTCTCACTCTGAAGGTTGTGGCATCTAGCGGGCACGGGAGGGAACTACATTGTAATCTCGAGAACGAGGTCCGAAATATAATTACCCTGAAGTTATCCAAAATAGACAAAGTTATTTCCTCCCAAAGTTGTTTCTCGCCCTTTACAATGGTTTATTTGATCATTTCTTGTGAGTTAAAAGAATAATACAGTTTATTGTGTATGCTAAGACAGTGATTAATATTTTATCTACAGAGGAAAGGGGATAGGTCCAGCCATTCTTTTGTTTTTCATATTATACACAAGACAAGGAATATAAAGATACTTAAAACTACATTAACAAGGAGCATTACTCAATTGTAACACACCGATTTTAATGAAACTTGGCACACAGGTAGAGCATTGAAGAATATAAGACACGACATTTTTTTCTATCTGCTGATATTTATATTTTAGGGGTGAAGTAATAACGGAGATGGAAATAATGTTAAATATGAAAAAAATTTGGTTGTTAATAAACAATAACATGCTCTGAATAGAAACGGTACTAAAACATAGGTGGCGGATACTGTATCCAATTATATCATTGTACTCTTGTACACCGTGTTTAATGTCGTGTGCTGACTTTTGTTTATTTGACTAAATAATAGTATAAACTACAATATACATCAAATTTTGTAGCAGAATTCGACAGAACCTACAACTTTTTACAGTGACAATGTAAGCATGAAACACATGTAAAAATGACTTTTCTTGAAAAAAGTCGAGAAATCTTACTTTTTCATCGTCAGGGAATGATATTTACATATGTCTGAATGATCTCCATGCTAATTAATATTTCATATAAGAATATGATTTCTTAAATTATTTTTTGCCAATCATCGGTGACTGACACTTAATGTGTTAATGCATTAGATTGTCCAGGATAAAAGTTGCGCTATAGAGCAGGAGATACCGTGTCTCGTAAGTCATTAATCATCTAAACCAGCAATTGAGCATGTGTCATTTATTTTTCAGTTCCTAGTCTACTACGAAGTTTCATTATAATCGGTGCGTAAACATACAATAATAATAAAAAATTATGCGAAGATGGTATTTATTATTATTTGCTATATTTTTATGTTTTAATTTTAAGGCTTCTTCATCATATTTTTGTATCGTAAAAGTACATCGAAATGTATGAAACTATTATTAAATTTTCTAATAATATTATAAAAATATGCATACATTTTTTAATTATTTAATTATTTTAGTAATAGCGTAGTCATTTTTTGTTTGTATCTTATTATCAAAGCCCATATATTATTTACCTGCTGTACCTGTCACGAACGTAAACAGAAAAACCTTGAATTGCGATCATTTTGATTACCTTTCACTATTTTTTTTTAGTTCAATATGTAGAATATGGAATAATACAAATTTTGTATAACTTATGTATACTTTCTTCATTATTTTAGGTAGAAGCTAAAATTAAAATTATGAAATATTTTCATATTTTCAGATTTTAAAAACATGGGAAACAAAAGTGCTATGGTGGTTATATTGGATAGGTTTAGGTGTTCTTTCCAGTGTAGGCCTTGGAACTGGCTTACATACTTTCGTACTTTATTTAGGACCACACATTGCAGCTGTTACTATGGCTGCATATGAATGTGGTGCTCTTAATTTCCCTGAACCACCATATCCCGATCAAATTATATGCCCAACTACAATTGATCCAAAGTGGACAGCAGGGATATTAAATATTATGAGAAAAGTACGTATAGAAGCTATGCTTTGGGGTGCTGGCACTGCTCTTGGCGAACTACCACCATATTTTATGGCTAGAGCTGCTCGAACTAGCCGACAAAATAATAGGAATGAAAAATTTGATCAAGAAGATTTGAAAGAGTTGGAAGCTTTAGAAGCTTTAGAAAATGGTGAAAATGTATCATTGCTGATTCGCGTAAAAATAACTATGAAACATTTCGTACAAAAAGCAGGTTTTTGGGGAATTCTTGCCTGCGCTTCGGTAAGTACATTATCTTATGAAACATTCAATTTTCTTACAATCGGTAATATTATCATAGTATAACATGATTTTGTAGAAACGAATAGAATTTCTTCTAATACACTGACGGACAAAATTAAAGGGACACTTTTTTAAAACGTCATATCTATGGGAGTTTTCAACCGATTTTGGGGAAACTTCGCGAGGAGTAGTTTTGAAGTGTCCTCTAAATGTGCGCAAAGTTGCATTGGCGAGGGTTGATACGAAGTGGTTAATTCACCCCCGTAAAGAGGGGCACGTCGAAAAACGCCGCTTCTGAGGAGGCCAGGGGTGACGAAAGGGGTTGAAAAAATCAAAAAAAATCTTT